CCAAGTGGGCTGAAGAGAAAACTTTCTGTATGAATTGTGTTTCCCCACTATTGCCGTAATTTTCCTTTGAAACCAAATAGGGACTTGGTTCCCTTGTGAAGTAAAACATGACTCCTAAATTTACTAGTCAATGTGTACGTGCAATGCACGTTAATTTGGAAGTATATTAAGTGCATGCGGATATTAAGTATGATATTATTTGCGTGTTATTATGTGATTAGACTATATTTGACATGAAATTAACTGCATGCTAAACGTGTTGAGCGCTCGACATTGAAGCAGTCTAGGTCGTTGGATTGCATGTTTTGATGGCCGAGATTAATTGGATCTGCCCATTTAGGTCTTTTTATATTAGTATAGATGAACTCCCATAACCAACAGTGACATTCCTTATGATGTCATTCATGTGACATCACTCAAAGAATTCGAGAGCGACCGAGCGAAAGAGATGGAAGCAAGCTTTTCGTTCATGAAATCAGGAGGAGAACTAGAGGAAACTAATTGGACGAGAAATGCAGCAAATCACGGATGGCTACCTCGATGAACATTGTGTGGACTGTGCGGCCGTCCACGAAGGTGACACTTGAGGTGATGACCTTGAGACGGAGCGAATCGAGCGCCTTGTACATCTTCGCCATGACGTGTTGCGCGTTGTCATGCCTCATGCTCACCACCGCCAGCTTCTCCGCTATGGGCATCACCTCCAGCTGTAGAAATGATAAACCACGCGGTTATTCAATGGTGTGTTTTGACATCCTGGTCTTGTTTCATAGAGTTGCCCCAAAATGTTTCACATTTGCCATGTTATCTTGGAAGCGTTTTGTTGTCTATAAAATGTTTCATAGAGTATTTCTCTTTGCTAACATTTTAGTTGTTACACAAGTTTTTTTTATTCTTTTGGTCAGAAACATTCTCACTAGATTTACATTTGGACTTCTCGATCATTTTATATACAAAGACCCGAAAAATGCTACTCAACTTCTCCGGCGAGCAATCTTTACCTCAAGGAGGACCGGATGCGTTGCAGGAGAAGTGACGGGGTCGTTGATGGAGGAGGAGGAGGCAGTCCTCCTCGTCTTCTTCAGCGGCCAGAAGCCAACGCCGGCGACCTCCACCCCCTCGCTACCGGTGGAGGCCTCCGACTTGACCACCACGGCGGTGCAGCCGCCGGCCTCGAGGTCGGACACCTCGGCGAGGATCCGGCGCTCCTGCTCCTGCAGCTCCTCGATGTATGCGACGGCGTCCTGGATGATGGACGCCTTGTCCATCTAACGCCGCACAAATTAAGAGAAAACCCTATCAAATCAAACTGTACTAGCTAGTATGAAGTAGACCTTGGTGATGTTTGGGACGACGCCGCGGATGGCGTAGAGCTTCTCGTTGAGCCGCCTGCGCCGGTCCCTCTCCTCAACGATGTTCTTGCTGGCCCTGGTGGCCCTCGTCGACGCCGTGGACGGCGAGCCGGTGGAGTCGTTGTAGCAGGAGTCGAGGCCGGAGAGCGAGTCCTCGGCCGGCAGGTACGAGCTGCAGCAGTCAGCCAGGCTCATCCAACGTTTGCTAGGCAGGGCAGAGCGAAACAGACGTCGTCAGCAATGCAATAGTTTGACGCGAGATTGAGAAGCAATGCAATTTGAATTCATCTCATCTCATCACGTACGTACCTATCGGCGTCTCCGAGATCGAACACCAGATGGGCCTCCAGCTCCAAGAAGTCCAAGCTCGCGTCCATGTCGGCCTCCATTGCTCTGCTCTGCACTGCTCCCTCTCCCTCTCCCTCTCTCCTTCCAGGGTTTTGTTGTGCGCCATGGCCGACGTGGCGAGCGAGAGCAGTACCCTATCCTGGTGCCACCTGGCGCCCTGCCGACCAAGCCATCGTGCATACTGCACGGTAATTGGCTGCTTCTCCATTTTCGGATTGCTCCCCCATAAAATTCGAGATGGAATCTGAATCTGTGCGCTGCTGTTGTCCCGTAAATATCTCCGTATGTTTGGGTCCATCAGCTTTGGCGCCTGGCAATAATTAACACGGCGCATAGAGCCAAAATAAGTCGGCCTCTTGACCCCATGGACAGGTTGATTGATAAGTTCTTTATTTGGTTCATAAGTTTCACGAGGTTCTTGAATTTTAAGGTGACACCACTAGTAGAAAAGGGGTCAAACGTGAAGCACATTAGTGCCGGTTTGAATTTGAGCCGGCACTAATGGTACCATTAGTGCCGGTTCGAACGACTATGCATTAATGCCGGTTCGTGTTGAACCTTTAGTATCGGTTCGTGCCACGAACCGGTACTAAAAGGGTGATGGGAGGCTGGCGTCAGGTTGGGGCCCCACGATCACATTTAGTACCGGTTCGTGGCACAAACCGGTACTAAAGGGCACCCTTTAGTACCAGTTTGTGCCACGAACCGATACTAAAGGGGTCTGACTTATAGTACCGGTTTGTGACACAAACCGGCACTATAGGGCAATTTTCAAACTCTACCCCCCCAGTGTGTCGCCATTTCAGTTCTGAAAAAATCAAAAGAAAATGATAAAAACTTCAAAAAATAAAATCCTTCGAGAGGTAGTTATATTACTACATCTACTAGTTAGGAAAATTTGAAAACTTAAATTTGGACATGTTTCGCAAAAAGTGTAGGGAAAATGTAAAACGGCTATAACTTTTGCATACGATGTCGGAAAGAAACGTATAATATATCAAAAAATTCAGCACGAAAATCCGCATCCGATGGAGACCGCCTATGGCCTGTTTGCAATTTTTTTAGAATCCTCAAATTCCAAAAGGAAAAAAAATATGGTTAAATTTCAGTTTTTTTTATTTTTTTTGTTAAATCTGGTCAAACTACTTATTCAAGAAGTATTAATGTTACTACATAATTATTCAAGAATATTAGTGTTACTAAATAATTATTTCATTTTTTTGAATTTTGGTCAAATCTGGTCAAACTATGGTCAAACTATGGTCAAACTTATTCAAGAAATATTAGTGTTACTAAATAATTACTGTTTTTAGAATAATAGTTTCAAAAACTCAAATAGTGAAATGTGTGACTTCATGCTCAAGCTAAACTCCCGAGGGTTAATAGGATTGGCATCTTACTATTGTTAGGAAAACAACAAGTGCAGACTTGGAAACGAAGGAGAATAGAACCCGAAAGTTAAGCGTGCTCAGGCTGGAGTAGTGAGAGGGATGGGTGAACGGTCGGGAAGTTATATGATTTGGAATGAGTGATCCACACTTGAGCAGTTAAGAGAGGTGATTAAAGACTAAATCACCAAATAATTTAGAAAAATTAAAAATCGAAAAAAAATCAAATTCTTTTCCAATTTTTTTTAAAAAAACATTTAGTACCGGTTGGTAAAGGTCCCCCATACCAGGGCGCGAGCTCACGGCACGTGGTGGCACTTTAGTGCCGGTTCGTGCCGAACCGGTACTAAAGGGGGGGGGCTTTAGTGCCCACCAATTAGTGCCGGTTATGAAACCGGCACTAAAGACCCTTACGAACCGGTTTTAAAGCTCCATTTTCTACTAGTGCACATCAATTTACCGAGGCTCTTGAATTTGAAGATGACGTGTCCGGACCCTTTTAAATGTTTTGAGCGATTTGGTCGTGGGTGATTCTAGGCGAAACCTTAGTCTTCGACAAGGGTCGATGCCAGCGGCAACAGTGCCTGTGGGTGCAATGTTTCTTTTTTGAAGGCGTCTTCCAAGAAACCACTCAGTTCTCTTCAGTTGGTGGATATGCTGGTGGTGTTGTTCTTGTTCGTCCGGTGACCGCTTAGTCGTTTTTACTTGTTTCTCATTGTTTGTTCTCTTTCGGTCTTTGGCCATGTTTCCCTCTTAAAAAACCAGGCCACTTTGTATTTTCTTTCTTTTTCCTATCTATATGAAATTGTAGGAACACCCTGTCGTGCCATTTTCAGTTTGTTAGTTATGTATGGAATTAGGGTTTAGTTAGGACTCAGTCGACTGAGACTTCGATCAACTGACGTCAGGATCGTACATATAGGCTTGACCCGGACGATTGATTTTCCTCTTCGTTCATGTGGGCTGTGTGTACGACTCTTTTCTTAAGTGGGCTGCTTTTCCTTTATTTTGTCCTCCCAAAAGCTTGTCTCGTGCTGGGCTGTCTTCTTTTCCGGTGCCTATTTTTCTGAAGTGTACTGGGCTGTCTAGTCTCCTACTTGGTTGGTTATTTTTTTGTATTTGGCCTGACAAATATATCAGTGTCTGTGTCAATGCTGCCAGGCGTGGAGTGTGTCTCCATGAAACATAACATAATGCATAAAAAAATGTGTGTTTGTATTACTTGAGCACATACTTTTGACACAAGAAATAGAAAAATAAATTAGAGAACATATTTTTTAAGATCATTAGAGAACATCTTTGGTTGAACTAAAAATGAGCTTCCTGGTGCCTGTCGTAAAAACTGCTAAAAAGGGGAAGCAGGTAGTAGAAAACTAAAGGTCACTCTCTGATCAACAAAAATGTAATTTGAAACAAGACTAATGTTGCATATGCCTAGTCTGGGACCATCTACTTCTCTCTTAGTGTATATCACTAGTTTTAGGTGATCCGTGGGAAAATAAAATATATTTAAAACAAAATAATAAGTTACACGCAGATGACGGACATGCAATTGCGTGTGATCAACGTGTGAGCGATCAGATGACAATATTTTGAGAAAAAAGGTTGCATAGAAATGACGAGCATGCAATTGCGCGTGGACGATTGACATGCGGGTGGCACGTGCATAACTAGTGGCACTATCTTATAAAAATAAAAATATATTAAGTTGTACATGGATGGGCAAGGCCAGAGTACAGGTGACTGTTCGGCCCATGGGTATGCAAGTCGAGTGGCGTTATTTAAAATAAAAATCCTAGACATCACTAATAAGAAAAGGAAAAACACAAAATCCAAAACACAAAAAAAGTAGAAAACGAAAA